CTTATGCTATAATATCAAAGACGTATAGACGAATTGTTGCTGCGATATACCCAGGGACGGATCCAGGATTATGACTTTGGGGGGGCCAAAGTACATTTAACCTCTAACCAATAAAATTTGAAGTTCAATACCAATTTCTACTAACATGAAAAAAAATCAATAATGGTACAATTAAATATTGAACTATATATTCCTTGTCAACATAGTTGAGTACCAAAAGATGATCATACAATTGAGAATATTTTTTTGCCCATATTCACTTACAAAAAGTAGTAACTATTTCTACATGCATTTATTTACTAAAATTAGGCATCTTCAATTGAACTCGATGCTCTTTCATAATATCAAAAGCATGAATGATAGAGTCTACATCAAACCCTCGAGCAATGTCTTTTTCAATGTACATAATCAAGTAACTAGCCAGAAAACCATCTTCCATCCTATTCCTAAAGTCATAAAATATATGGTAGCACAAAATAACATTTAGATTTTTATCCAAATTCTTAGAGGAAATCAACAAATCATAACCTAAAAAGCCTATTCAATTATCAAGAAATCACACAACACAGCACCTACCAATTACAATAAATCATAGTATTAAAAAAAAATTCACAATATTTAGTTAACAATTGTACCAATAACAATTATCAGATATTCATCGCAACTCTTGGCTTCTCCACCCTAAGCTAACCTCTCTGCCACAATTTCATCCAGAAAAACAACCAGCTTGCATTGGCCCCACATTGTCATTAAATTATTATTTATTTTAAAAAAAGTTCAAAATCAATTGCTAACCCAGATAGTGTTAGATGTGGTGGGTTCTGATGTGTGTGTTGCAAGAGTGTATGTGTATTTAATAAAAGAGTGTTTGGAGAGAGGAGCGAAATCTATTGACAGTAGGGGTGTAATTGTGGGTTATGTGATGTAGGAAGTTGGGAATTTGGGTTGTCAAGTTTGGGATACCAAAACTGAAACTTGGGTTGAAGATTTCTAGTTGTTTGCAAGCTTATGGGTGACCAATAACAACCAATATCAAATTAATGGCAAAATAATTGCATTATTCAGTGTAAAATCACAATCAATCATAATATTCAGTTTAAAATTAGAATAATCACATTGAAGCTGAAGGGATATCAGATAACTTACCAGTGAGATTCCATAGTTCCACCGTCCACGCCGACCAGCTCTGACGAAGTCCGACAACAAAGCTTCTCAGTTTCTTCCCTCATCTCTTTGCTCCTCTCCTCTCTTTCGAATCGCAACAAGTCTCTCAGATCAGTTCTTTTCTTTTCTTTTTTTAATCTTAGTGCTTTGTTTGAACAAGCTTCTCCAGCAAGCCTTATAGTTTATATATTTGTAAAAGTTTCATATTTTACACCTTGACCCATTAAAGTTTCTAAAATTTTGCTTTCATCTTCACCTAATTTAAAAAATACATATACATGAAATTTAAAATAGATTATTATATATGTTAACTAATTCAAAAAAAAAAATCCAAATAGTTTAAAAAATTGGGAGGGCTACTCTATATAATTTTGAAATTATCTAAAAAAAATTGGGAGTGCGAACTCCTATAATTTTAAATTATTTTAAAATTTCTAGTATAATATATGATATTTTTAAAATTTTTGAAGGTACGGCCGCCCCCCGCCCCCCGGCGGGCGATCCATCCCCCGCGATCCATCCTTGGATATACCAATAAGAATTGGAATCGACTTTTCTCTTGAAGTTAACCTATTTCTTTTGGCAAACTTTCTAGTGCACAGAGTATGCATCATATGATTCATAAAGATTTATGGGAGTCTTTTAAACACTAATATAACATATAACATTCTCGTTATCTCTTTGATATTTTAATATGTGGTAGTCGATGTTTTTGTTATTTCTATTTCCCTTGAGATGTTCAAATAAGTGTACTTTTCGACTTTTTGGTTAAAAAAATAGAGAAAAAAAAAGATGTATGTTTGGGATAACTTTTTAACTTTTTACGAGAAGATGTGTAATAAAATACTGTAGTAAAACCAAAATGACCATTCTACCCTTGTTAACTTTTTGATTTTTGACTTTTTTACTTTTAGGTTGTTAAATGCAAAGAGCAAAATAATAATTTTGCCCTATAGCTTCCCCCACAAGCTTCCAAAATAATAATTTAAAACCTCTAGTCTTCCCCAACAAGCTTTTTCCAAAATAGTGTGGACTTTTTGGCTTTTTAACTTTTTTAGTTTATGTCAAATCATAATATTCTTTTTATCTCTCTTAGTTATTGTAATATGTGGTTTGGTCAATGTTTTTGTTATTTCTATTTTCATCTTTTAGTGTTTTATTATTCTAATAAAATATTACTTTTGTTAATAAAAATAATTAAATATTTAACTTAGTTAACCACTTCTATACGCTTCAATGTAGGAAGGCACGAGATAGATGTTAATCAATTCATTATGACAGTTTTTTTTTTATTTTTTATTTTTTTTATTGTATTAAGTTGAGTACAATATATAAAAGCTTAGAAGTAATATTAATTTTGAACTAATTCTCATGGAGGGCAACAACTTTATTTATGGGAAAACGCTATTATACAGGGATGAACTGAGGGGAGGGGGCGCTAGGGGTGACCGCCACCCTAAAGTTTTGAAAAAAAATACTTGATATAGTAATAAAATTATAAATATTTTGAAATTATATAGGTTTGCCACCCCAAAGTTTTTGCAAAAAATTTAAGAACTGCCACCTCCTAAATTTTGTACTTTAAAATTTAAAAATTTATTTATTTTTTTGATAAATACTAAAAATAATAATAATAATAATTTATTTTTTGAAGTATGATTACTTTTTGATTTTAAATTTAGTAATGTTAAAATAATTGAGAATTTATTTGTTAATATGTCAAAGTCCTTTTTGTTTGATTAGGGCCCTAATTTTTTAGTTATTTGCTTATAACTAAATAAAAAAATAAATGATTACTTAAGAAGATACAAGTCTCAGTCATATGTAGGCATCAGTAGCCTATCTAGAGCAGTCATCATATATTTAAAACAAAGAAGCTTCGCTTCTCTCTCTTATTTCACAACCAGTGAATCCAAATTATTAGAACCAATGACCCAAAACATAATCTCTCTCTTGTACGTCGTGAGTTTTCCAGCGTTCAAGATCGTGATTCCTTCAACAGTACTCTCTCTCTCTCTCTCTCTCTCTCTCTCTCTCTCTCAGAAGAGTTAGGGTTTATTATTTGGGAAAAAAAGATTGAACTATGAACTTGGTAATGCTGATAATGGAACCATTTGTATAATTCTTAGTCAACTATTTATACTTTTGTATTACATTTCTATTGACCTGTTGTTTGTTATGTTAATTTTTTTTATTGTTTACCCATTGAAAATGACATATCCTTTGTTAGATTAGATTATATTTTTAGTGTGCTTCTTACCTAGTAAATAACAAAAATTGTTTAACAATTTTCAGGTTCTTAAATCAAATTGAGTTGAATGTTAGGTGAATTATGGTGAACAAAAAAAAATGATTCTTGCTTTAAGAAAAGAGGCTCTCAAGATATAGAAGTTAATGCAACTACAAAACCTTCCATTGATAGTGTTGAAGCTTCAATTCTTGAACAACGTCCTTGTAAAGTGCCTAGAATAGAATCCAAAGAAATTGATACATCTTCTTTGGTAAGGGATCCAGGACTACAACCACAAATTTGGGATTATTTGATATCTCAACGTGATGAGATTTGACAAGCTTACATCAAATTTGGACCATACCAACCTGAAAACCAACCTTTTGAAGAGAAGAATGGGCGTCCTTTTCTAGCTTCTTGGTACAAGTTATTTATAGATTGGTTAGAATATTCTCCAACCAAAAATTGTGCCTTTTGTCTTCCTTGCTATCTTTTTACAAAACTGAATGGACGCACTACTTCTAGCGCTTTCATTTCTTATGGATTTTCTCCATGGAAGAAAGTCAATAGTGGAAAGAATTGTGCTTTCTTAACTCAAATGGGAAAGGGTCCTAATCCATCACACAGAATTGCAGTTAAATCTTGCTATGATTTAACAAATCAATCGCAACACATTGAGAAGATAGTTGAGAAACAAATTCCTCAACAAGTTTCAAAAAAATGTTTACGGTTGAAGACTACGATAGATACTGTCAAATGGCTTACATTTCAAGCTTGTGCATTTAGAGGTCATGATGAAAGTCATAGTTCTAATAATCGAGGGAACGTTATTGAATTTATAAAGCTCTTGGCATCTTATAATGCGGATGTGGAAGATGTTGTGTTAGACAAAGCTCCTCAAAATGCTTCTTACTACTCGCATCGAATTCAAAAAGAGATTCTTTGTATTTTCTTTGACAAAATACAAAGATTCATTCGTGAGGAGATTGATGACACAAAACTTTGCATTATAGTGGATGAAGCTTGAGATGAATCAAAGAGGGAGAAAATGGCCATTGTTCTAAGAGTTGTTGATAAAGATGGCTTTGTAAAGGAGCTTTTTTTGACATAGTTCATGTATCAGATACAACATCAGCAACTTTGAAAGAAAAAATATGTATTGTCCTATCTCGTCATAATCTATGTACAAAATATTCATGGTCAAAGGTATGATGGTGCTAGTGATATGCGTAGAGAGTGGACTGGGTTGCAAGCCTTATTTCTTTATGACTGTCATTTTGTGTATTATATGTTCATTACTTTGCTCATCGACTCCAATTAGCATTAGTAGCGACAGCAAGAGAGGTTATACCCATTGCCCAATTTTTTTCTTATCTAGCTCTCACAGGTAATCTATGTGGCTCTTCTTGTAAAAGGCATGATTAGTTGAAAGTTGCTTAAGGTGAAGAAATTGCAGTAAAACTTGCCATTGATGAAGTTGAAACTGGTAAAGGCAAAAATCAAGTTGAGACATTGAAACGGGCTGGAGATACTCGATGGGGTTCTTACATAGGATCTATTTCCAGTTTGATAAATATGTTTAGTGCAACTTGTTCAGCCTTAAGTAATGTCATCAATGATGGAGCCACCTCTACTCAACCGTGCAGATGCAGATGGAGTTTATAATAAGATTACATCTTTTGAGTTTGTGTTTATCTTACATCTTATGAGAGATATTATGGGGACTACTAATGATATTTGCCAAGCTTCGCAACATAAATCCCAAGATATATTCAATGCAATGCATCTAGTGTCAACTACAAAAGCACTTGTTCAAAAATATAGAGAAGATGAATGGATTCCTTTGTTGGAAAATGTTCAACTATTTTGTGGAAAATATGATATAGATATTCTTGATATGAGTGCTCGCTACACATCTGGTAGAGGTCGTGCTTGTCACCAAAGAGATCACATTACTATTGAGCATCATTTTCGGGTTGATATTTTTACAATTATATGTGATTCTCAATTGCAAGAATTGGACAACAGATTCAAAGAAGATGTGATGGAGTTGCTTATTCTTAGCCCTGCTTTAGATCCTAGGGATGATTACAGTTCATTCAAAATTGAAGATATAATCAAGCTTGCAAATCAATTTTATCCTAATGACTTTACAGAGTAAGAAAAAATACATTTGAAATTCCAATTGCAAAACTACGAGATTGACATCCTTAAACATCCTGAGTTTCACTAGTTGTTGACAATTTCTGACTTGTGCCAAATGTTGGTAAAAACAAGGAAGTCAACAATTTATCCTCTTGTCGATAGATTAATTCGTCTTGTTCTAACTTCACCAGTTTCTACTGCGACAACAGAACGTGCATTTCGGCCATGAAAATTGTAAAGACTAGATTGCGTAATAGAATAGAGGATGATTTTCTTTCAAGCTACTTGTTAACATATGTTGAGAAAGACATTGCTCGAGATTTTGATGCCGATTCCATCATAGATGCTTTTTATATTATGAAAGAACATCAAGCACAACCTTAGATGCCTAAGTAGATATGTAGAGCAAATAGTTGCTTTTTTTAAAAATTAATATGGATTTACTAGAACATATCCAATTGTATTTTGATAATATTTTGTAATTATATACGATGTATGGAAACATCTAATTATATATTTTTGTGATATTTGGATAGAAATTGATATTGTATATCACATGCTCATTACAAATTTTTTGATTGCATATACACTCGCCCCTCCGACATTAGAATCCTGCGTCCATCCCTACTATTATGCACACCTACAAAATGTGTAGATGGTTCAAAACTTGCTCTTAACTAAAATCAAATTGGTTCATAACAAAATATCATATAAGCCTCCTAACCAAACTATCAAAGTCTAATAACTAATGTAACTTTGATTCTTAACAAGATTACACAAAGCCTACTATAATGACTTGGGTTTATAACTAAAACTAATTTTGATCATTTATGTCACAAAAATCTCGCACCAATCACCACAAAGTTTAAATAAGGAGTATATCTTTTGGGTCTTGAGAACAAGAGAGTTAAAACTTGAGGACCTTTGAAATAAAAAATGGTAGACTCATTTTACTTACAAAAACATCACATTTACTTTGTTTAATTTAGGTTTAAGCCAGCCCTAGTCATTGACAGTTAAAACCAACTCAAACAAATATTCATCATGTTTGTTTTGGGGAGATTGTAACATTGTTGAAAACCAAAAAAAAAAATCACAAAACAAAAACAGTTTCAACTACTACACCCCCCCACAAAAAAAAAAGACACGTATGGTTTGTATCTAATAACAAAACCAAATTACTTCATAACAAAAACATCAACAAAAAAGTCTCATAAACAAACACTAGAAAATGGTATAACCAAAACAAATTTGGGTGATAACAAAAGAATACCATAAAAGTGTCATAACCAACCACCAAAAAAGTGTCATAACGAGTTACACTACAAATTTAACCATCACAAAATCTCATAACCAAATACTGAGTATGGTAATGATAAAATATGGTATGCATGATAGACATAATATATAGTTACTATATTTAACACTCCCCTCAAACTCAAGTAGGAATAACAACTTGAGTTTTGAGAGAGAAACTAAGATATGTGAAAAATCTAGAAATCCCCTAGATGTTGATTTGTGATTATGTATCAATTTTAAGCAAAATATAACAATCCCAATCAAACAATCAAGACAAAGAGACACAACGATTTAACGTGGAAAAAACCACAATTGGACACCTCCAATTGTGATAAAAAAAACCACGGGCAACAGCCACAAAACAATCCACTAAGAAGATTTAAAGGAATTACACAGGTATACTCTCAATTACCTAACGAATCCACGCCTAATTGAACCAACCTGTATGTGCCTCTTCCAACCCGTCTTCACCTCGGAATTGTCTTTACGATGAGCCACCCCGGAATCCACCAAAGCTTTAGGCTCGAATTCTTCAGAATCCACCGAAGAACAACTCTCTCTTTTGTAGAACAAAACACAACCTTTGATGTACTCTCTTTAAACCATGAGTTTGAATACTCAATCAAACATCAAAGAAAACTAGAAAAATCTCTCCAGATATAAACCTTAAGATCCAAAAATAAGATCTGGAGAAGTCCCCCTAGTGTTGGGAGAAAACCAACTATTTATAGAAAACCAAAGCAATCCTAATTTCAGAAGAAAACCAACTCTTTAATCAAATCTGGAAATCTGGGATCGCGCGGTCCGCTCGAGCGCCCTTTTCCCCGCTCGAGCGGAGACTTCAAATTCTGTGATTTCATACAGGCTCCATGCTCGAGCGTCGGTTTTGCCGCTCGAGCGGCAAATCACACCATCCAGTACTTTTTCAGGCGACTGCAGAGATGCTGAGAGCTTCCAATCCCCGCTCGAGCGTCCCTTTACCCACTCGAGCGGGAAGGCCAAAACTAGAAAAACTGGAAAAATATAACGAGTTGACCGGGCAGCTCGATCCCCGTCATAATCAGCGAAGTGGCAATCTTGAATGCTTTATCATCACAAACTTCTCTGAAAAGCACAATTCGGGTTGGATTCGCATCTAAACACTCATAGCCTCACTGAAATAAAAAGTGAAAATAAAATTACAACTCAAAGGAGTTTTGTCAAACGGGATTGCCAAGAAATAAAACCTAACAATATGAAATAAAAATAAAATAAAACATGGATAGATCCGAGGCAAATAGATTGCAAAGTTCGGATTGGAGCACATGTGCGCTTGAGATAGATCACGGAGCTAATGTCGGGAGACAGAGTATAGTTATGTTGGACCGTTATAGAAGAAGAGCAAGTATTGAACCAGCAAACGTGGCACTCACGTAATTTATGACGTGGTACTGAACGATGATGGCAACAGATGAAGAAGTGCGCCAAGGGGCGACTTGGAAGAGAACCATGTGCACCAGGAGGCAGCTTGGAAAGGAAAAAAAAAGGCTTCAAGGGGGGGACTTAGGGAGTGCACCAAGGGGGCGGCCTAAAGAGTGCGCTAAGGAAGGCAACTTAGGGAGTGAGTAGAAGGGGCGACTTAAGGAGTGCGCCAAGAGGCCAATGAGAGACTTAGACAATGTGCCAAGGGGTGACTTAGAGGGTGTGCCAAGGGAGGCAGTTTAGGTAGTGCACCAAGGGGGCAACTTAGAGAATGCGCCAAGGGACGACTTGGGTGGTTCGTATGGTGTATTACCATACTCACCATGACATATGTATAATATCCCCTTCAAACTCAAATAGATTTAAAGATGAAAACCTATTTTAGGTTGAAACAGATGAAATAATAAAGCAGAAGGTAGAAGATGTCAGCTGCGAAAATATATATATATATATATATTTAACGGATTGAAAACGGATTCACGAAAAAAATCGGTGTAAATAAAAAACAAATATATATTAAAGGGTGGGGAGCAAATGTTTTAAATAAATGATGAAAGTGTGATGATAATGAAAATTTTGAAAAAAGGGTTTGAAATGTTGGAGAGGTAGAAAAAAGGCAAACAAACTCCATAGGTGAGTATTTTCACCAGGTCAAAATATAATAATAATAATAATAATAATAATAAAGTGAAGATCACATGGCTGTATGAAAAATAAAAACAAAAAGAGAGAGAAAATGATATATAAAAAAATAATGATGGGACAGGCCTATGTGATTAAGTTGAAAAATAGATTGTTTTGCTTGAATAAAAGGAGTGTGTAGGCCCAAGAGAGAATTTTGGATGGGTTTCATTAAAAAATTGTGAAGCTTATGGGTTTGTGGCAACGGTGATGATAGAGATGCCGAAGATAGGAGATGCAGTGACGTGATGACGGTGATGCTGAAGAAGGTCTAGCGGTTATGGTAAGACAACAGATAGGACTGAGGTCTAGCGAGTGGCCAAGGCAAGGTTGCCGCCTGTCAGTAAGATGAAGAACACTAAGAGCTTAACCTATAGCTCTGATACCATGTTATAATATCTAAGAGAGAGAAAAAGAATGTTATATTGAAAGTTATAACAGTATACAAAACTCTTTTATTTAGTAGGAGTAAAACTTAAGTATGGTAATTTTAAATATGATAATAAATATAAATAATATGCATAATAGACAGAATATATAATTACTATATTTAACATCACCAAACCATTGCAAGCATTCCAAATGGAACCTAAACACTCCTCATTACTTCAATATTAATAGAAAAACAATCATAATGATTTTGACTCTAACCCATGCAGCTGCTCAAGTTAAATATTTGATTAAAAAAGGTTTACCGGCATTTATAATAGGTTGCTAAAATCTATAGAAATGCTGCTAAAATATTAGCAATAGTTTTTTGTCTTAAGCAATGGTGCTAATTAAATATTGTTTAAGGTTTATTGAGACGTGTAGACACTCCATTTTTTACCGTCCTCAAGACTTGGACATCATCGTTTGAATACCCGATGATTGTGCATGCTCGTGTTCATTTTGAGTCCTTCAAGGTCTCGGCTGAGCGCCTTGCCTTGGAGCCTCTCAACTTGTCTATTTTCTGCTTGGTTGTGGACTAAGAGCTTATTGCTTTGAATTTGGAGGAGAGGATGGCTTGTTGGCCATCCCTAGTGTCCATCGGCCATGGCTTGTGCCTGCCGGCTATTAGTGGTGGCCGACGGCTATTTTTCTCCTTTTTCAGATATTTATTTGCCAGCTGTTGATCACTGAGTGTATCCTCCATACACATGTATAGAAGGATGAAGCCAAGCTTTTGGCTTGATTTTTTATATAAGCAGCGGTCCCTCCCCCATTTTGGAGGTTTAGAAATTTTATGAGCAAAATTTCATTCTCTCTCTCTCTCTCTCTAGAATCCTCTCTCTCTTCCTATTTAGTGCTTGAAAGTGAGTTTCCTTTGCACATTTGCACTAGCACACTTAGTCAAATTAGACTACCTTGTAGCTGAGGTTCTTAGAGGTCTTATTTGAGCTTTCAAAGTTGGTTTTGGTTTAGAAAGTTGACTGTTTTGCTACTGTGCTTCAAAGGTAAACACTTAACCCTTTTAAGCTTATTTTTGCACACTAGTTTAGTCACTTTTGCATGTTGTTTTTGGCCTACTTTTCAACTACAAAAACCACTATTTTTAAGGCTTAAAAATGGTGGTTTAAGGCATCTTTGGAGTTA